GTGAGCCTGGCCCAACTGGAATTTGTACAACAACAAAAACACTTAAACTTATTTTCAAGTTCGTATTTATTGGAAATGCAGTCAAAATAAAAATTAGTTTCTACAGACATGTTACCTTTGTCAGATAAGAGACTTATTCACATACATTTAGTGACATAAATTACTTTAGCTTATACATGTGACATGCAATAAATAATATCCCACCAGAGACTGACCTAACGTACAGTTTCTACCATTTGTACATCACCCTACACGGCGCTGTCAGCGGCAGTGTAAACTGATATCTCCTCTTTTGAAATGCACAAAGGCAAGTGAAAAGAGCGGACTATCAATTGGTTATACAAAAATAGAACCAGGTAGCATTTTATAAAGTAAAAGACAGCAGACAGCGAACACAACTGTGTACTTCTTTTTTTTTTTGTGCCTCCACCTCCCTTGAAATGCAGAACTTCATCTACGCAGCAGGCATTAATTCTATCTCTTTGTTTCATGTCTTTTGTGACAGAAATAAACCTCTTCAATAAAACACAGGACAGGGCTTTGTGCATGTGTGGCACAGGCTGACGGGGCATGCGGTTTAGCTCTGTGTGCATACTGGAAACAAAAAACAAAACAAAACAAGAGCAGTGTCTTTACAAAACGTTATCCGTAAGAAAGAGGAGCGACTGAAACAGGCCCCGAGAGCAGATGTGAGTCTGCCAGGAAAGCACTGAGGACGACTAGAAAAAGTAGCTGCGTGGAAGTAAGTCGACTGGAACGTTTGTCAGGCCGCTGCCTCGCTCTGTAAACCCAGCAGCCCCGGGAATGAAATCATTGTGATCGATTTATTGCAACAGATGATTTTTTTTTGGGGACCTCAGGCTTCCTGTCATGCTGATTAATGAGCCACAATGATCAGAATTACCACTCACTTCTTCATTCAAAGGCAAAAAATGTCTTCATGGAACTCAGTAGGAAATGAGTGTAGCTTTGTAAACATGGAATTATTTTACATACACGACTATTCACATGTAGAAAATGACTGAGTGGAAACTCTGATGGTGTTTGTTTCGGATCTCTTTTCGTTCAGCGGCCCTTAAAGAAGCCTTCAGCCACCGTCGCTTCTTTAAAAGTCACCGTCAGCGAGTTGATGGTCACGTGTGTCACAATCACTTTCCCGGAACGCTCTGTGTCGCCCGGTGTCGTTGTGGTAAGGCTCTGATTGTCGGCGCCCACCTCCTCATTCCTCGCCTCAGCAGTGGAGCAGGCGGCGGCTGTGCTGCCCCCCGTCTTGCCGCTCCCCTGAACGCTCACTATCACTGTGATTGTGTCGTTCCTCTCTAATCTGGGACATTCCGACCCTGACTCCACCTCCTCCTCACCTCTGGCCCAATCTGACCTGCCGCCCACGGTAACTGCATCTCCTGGTCTGGCCACCATCACCGAGGCGCCATCCTTCGATTGGCTGCACGCAAACGTTTGGTTCTGTTTAGTTTCATATACATCTGGTCTGTCAGTCCATGTTTCTGAGCCCGCCACGGTCAGGTTGGCGTCCACCTTCTCCTCCACGTCCATCTCTAGGTCCTGACGCTCCAGCAGCGGCAGGGAGCTGCACTCCGAATGACCTGGGAGAAAGAAAGCTTCAGTTTAATCACAAAGGTCAAAGGTCATCGTTGAATTTCTAACTGATCTACTTGGAAAACCAACCGTATAAACTGTCTTCTCGTTGTTCCTCTGAGGTGCTTTCGGACTCCTCCTGCTTCTCTTCTTCGCTGGTGCCGCTCCAGTCCTCCTCCATTGGCTCCTCCTTCTTCCTCAGTGGTTGGAGAGGTTTGTTCGAAGGCCCGTCCGGCCCCCGTTTAGCCACCCTCTGGTGGCTCCTCCTCCTGAGCGGTCGGCGGTAAATGCTGCTGCGCTCACCCTGGTCCACGTCTGTGCTCATGGCGCGGGTGAGGGAGAGACGCAGACGGGGAGTCGGCTTTACTGCGGCCTTGTGGGCGCTGCGGAGGTCCATGGCAAAGAGGTTCTGATGTTCAGAGCAAAGGTGACAGAGGAATCACTGAGGTGTGAACAGCACTGAGTTCTGGGAAATGTAGCCTTAAGGGATAAATCCTGTCATACTGTATATTCATGTTGATGAAAGACCAAAACCAATAATGGTCTTTAAAATGCCTCAACTCAAAGATCTCTCGTCTGAGGATTATTCGAAGACGTTCCCAGTTTGTTCCTAATAAATTTGCCTTTACACAAACAAGCCCTGCAGCAGTTAAGAGTTACTGAAGGAAGTAAAGCAGGAGAAAAGTTTCTTTACCCGCAGCAGGAGTCTCCTGGGTCTGAGACCTTTCCTGCGATAGGCCAGCGCTCTGACCTTCTCCTGACTGGAAGAGAGGTGGACACAGAGGGACGGGAGAGGAAAGAGACAAAGTGACCAAAAGAGACGGACTGTGAAACAGTTTTCAGACATAAACGCTGGAGAATGTCCCTCATTTGATAATAACACCGCTGGAGATTCTCCACTGAGACACGTTCACAACAACAGAAGAATCCAACGTATGAACCAAAAGCTCTCTTGACATCTACGTCTGTCCTCTACGTGTGTGCTTCTGCTTTTCATCCCGTGTTTTTGGTTTTTCTTTTAGTTTTGGAACAATCGCTCGCTGTGAAGAGTTTCGACTAGTCCAAAATGTCCAGACCTGGGACTTTTGCGTTGTCACGTACAGCCCCTCAGGAGAATGTCAGGAGTTTCAGTGTTTTTCTGAAAGCAGCTAAAATAAAGGGAACTGAAAGAAAACCCTCTTCGCAAGAACCAGACTTTCTGTTATTACTCACTTTTCCTCGTATGCTAGGACCAGGCGAGGGTCCAAAATATTGTCCTCCGGTTCCCAAGTGCTGTACCTGGTGACACAAAAACACGTTCAAATCCCATCAATTACCCATAAATCTGTTCATCTGTCCATCGATCTATAACAGGACACACTGCCCGCTCCAGCTCCGACACACACGTTATAAAAAAGGTTCCTGAGTTTATATAGAGGGAATGAGGTCACCGGACGATGACTCAAGGTTTACTCACTTTGGGGGCCATCCCTGCCATTTCAGTAGATACTCCACATTACCCTGAAGGGGGGGGGGGGGGGGGGGGGGGGGGTGAGAGAGAGGGAGGAGGGTGAGATACAACACATACACACAACCTGCACTTTTTAATCTGTACTGGTGCTGTGAGTGTGTGCGTGTAAGAATAAAAAGGGTGACTGTCACTTTAAGAAGGGGGGGTCGGGGGTTGGGGGAGTGGACGTTGTTCTCGGTGTTTCTCGGGAATGACGTCACTGCCAGCAGCTTTTTCTCTCTCTCGCGCGCCGCGGTGACGTGACCGCACGCGCTCATTCTCTCAACGTTTGCACCGGCGGGCTCGGATAGGTGGGGCCACGCACACGAGCATGTAAACACTGGCGTTGCGCAACGTTCGAGTCCCACCTCCGTGTGGACCCGTCAAACAATAACAAGAGATAACTGGTGCGCGGAGCGCGTGCGTGTGGACATGAACATGATTTAATGTCCTAAACTTTTCTGTGGCACATTGAATGAAGCTGACGTCACGCGCTGTTCCTCTGGATTACGGGACAAGCTGTGCGTAAACATGCGGAGTCCGGTGCGTAAAAGCGGCTCCATCCTCTGTCACCACCGTCACCACAACACGCACAGCGGCGGGACACCATCACGCAAAACTCGGTGACATTACGCAGCACTTTCCGCACGCCGCCGTAACCCAAATAAACTGCGCAGCTCGTTTTCAGAACACACGCCCCCTTCTCCGGTTTACTACAGCTGCGTAGGCGCCTCCAAAACACGCTCGTGTCGCAGCACCGCAGCCGGAGCCCCGCGCGAGGGGGGTTAAAGGTCAGCACCGCGCGACACTTCCACGCAAACAACAGACACAGAGAGAAAGGAGGAGGTTGTTGTTGCGTAAAGTGCACGGGGAGAACTGCGCAGCCTAGTTTTGGCAGCGCACGAGGACAGAGGATGGCACAGGGAGCGCACGCTGCTCCACTGGGACAACATCCATGTTGAAGACTGAGAATAATAAGTTATTTAAGTTTGCGTGTCTCACCTTCCTCACCCTCTTCTTCGTTATGGACTCCACCGCGAACACCTGGTCTCCTATGGATGACAGCTCCATCGCTCCACACTGCGCGTGTGCGCTCAGAGGACGGAGCGCACAAAATAAAAACAGTGAGAGAGAGAGGAGGAGGAAACACAAAGTTCTCTCTCTCTCTCTCTGACTCTCCCTCCCTCCCTCTCTCTATTTCTCTCTTTCTCTGACTCTCCTTCCCTCTCTGACTCTTCTCTCGCTTCTCTCTCTTCTCTCTCTCTCCTTCTCTCTGCCTCCCTCCCTCACTTTTTAAAATCTGCGACACATCAACACCGGACAACGCGCTGCTTTAAGCCGGGCGCGCCACCTTTTTGTTGCGTAGGACCGAGCCCCCCAATAGGCGTGCCCGCGTCCGCGAGGCCGCGCACGCAAATTGGAGCAGAGTGCAGGAGAGGGGCCGAAGAAGAGGAGGAGGAGGAGGAGGAAGAGGAGGAGGAGGAGGAGGAAGAGGAGGAGGGAGGACAAGGTTATTGCGAAACTTAAGAAAACACTGATGTTGTAATGATTTCTAAATCAAATTAAATAAAACAATTAAATGTTCTTATATCAAATCTTAAATTTCATTCAGATAAAGATGCAAACGCACATTCACTAAGTCTACTTGTTTTTCATTTCGAGCGGAGTTTTCGACAACAAAATCGAACAATTATGTGAAAAAAGTTGTAATTTAATGAAAAAAATCACAATGTCACGAGAATAAAGTTGTGATGTTGCGAAAACAAAGTTATAATATAAGAATTTAGAACGCTTTGTGATGAAAACAAAGTATTTCAAACTTTTATTATAGAGAATAACTTAACGAGATGCTTGACTTCTTGTACTATTCCAACTAGTGTCCTATAAAATAATAATAACCTTACAGAAGCTTTCAGGGGACCCAAGGACGCTTTACATTGAAGGAGAAGGAAAATAAGTATTTCCCAAATGTTGACAACAGGTCAGTCATGTCATTGTCCCCAAATATGACTCCTGAAATTGATCTAAAGGTTTTTCTCTGGTGAGGTTGTATCATTGGAAACACTGAAAGCGCTGAACTGCAGCCCGACAGTGAAACAGAAAGTGAACTGGTGTCTCTTTATGTAACAGCAGCAAAGGCAGGAAAGATCAGAATCTGCAATGGAAATGAAAGCTTTGCTCGATTCTCTGGAAGAAATTTCCACACCTCCAGCTGCGTTTGATCCAAATATGGAACCAAACAGCTAAACACTGCTGAAAGTCTTAATTTTACCCTGAATGCTAAGCAACCTCGCTGCAGAGCCCAGCGCTGGAAATAAGGTTGAGTACGACGCAGATACAGATCTCAGTGACGATAATGATCCCTGATGTTGAAGCCAACATTTCTTCTTTATAACTTTAAATCTCGACTCAGCGGTGAGATCACAGCCACTGATCACACACTTATCTAATTTTATACCTGAACATCTACACATCCAGCCCCCGTGTAGGAAGATCTTACAAAGGTAAAGTGACGGCTGTGGAAAAAAGGCCTGGAGCCAGATTCCTATTATCTTTCACTGAGGCTGATGTGGATCAGTTTACAATAAAACTCTATGAAACCGCACACACACACACACACACATGGTCTACGGTCCGCGGTCTCTCTCTGCACCTGGAACACTTGCATCACTTATGGGCATTGGGTGTCATGGCAACTGTTTCTACAGCGACTGCTGAAAAGCTGGATGATGGCGATGAGACAGCAAGAGTTGATGAACAGTTCAGGGCTGAAAAGTGATCCACACCAATACTGACCCTACGTTGACCTTTGACCTCCCAGCTCTGAGGTTACATAAACAGCCCAACACGACAATCCCATAATAATACAATCATCTTCTTATGTAACGTAGCCCGTCACCAGGACGTTCAATCAAAGGAAGTTGGATCTAAATTAATGCTGAGACTAAAAATGATTTTCAATGAAACCTCGGATTATATTTAATAGTCGTTTAAAATGAAAACTGTGAAACTGTAAATATTACTATTATCTGCAAATCAATCATATGTTTTCTGACAATTGTTCCCACACTGACTTAAATCAAAAGGCTTCATCTGTTACGATGACGCCATCTTTCTAAAAATAAAAGCCTCTCAGTGTCTGATGTTGACCTCACTGGTGTTAAAATTGATGAAGCTGATGAAGAGAGATGGATAAGAGAGAGAGAGAGAGCGAGCGAAAGAAAGAAAGATAGAAAGAGAACAGCAGAGGTGAAAAACACTTTTACACAAAAAGTATGTGCAGTTTTTTAAAATACCGTTAAAAAAAGCTGATTGAGTTCTTCCCCGTTTTTTTTATTTTTATTTTTTTGTTAAATGGTATTTTTGAAGTTAGTCTCGTTTCTGTTGCAGGTCTAGAAAAGTACGATTTTCATTGTGCGGTGCGACACCTGTCTTCATTCTGCAGACGACATTAAAGAATCTGGAGTTTGCCATTTTTGTTTTTCCTCGGTGAGTCATGTTCGACGTCACAAACGCACGACGACAGAGACATCACTGCCACTCTGAGGTTCTACTCTCCAGTAGTTATGCTCGTCACTGGTCAGAAACCATTTCTGTAACTGTCCAAAACCACCAACTCGACATTTGACACCCAGTTTGAGCCGTGATTGACGTGTTGAGGGGAGAAAGAAGCCTGGGATCAAACTTTACTTCACAACAGTATTTCTGCCACTTTCCTTGTCAACCACTGAGTTCACCACTGTGAATGTCGCACACAACCTCCCTCGCGTCGCCTTAACCTCCAGCGTGAACACGGTGGTTTTAAAACTCACACTGTACAAACTACTTCTCATATTTTAAGTTTATTTTAAATTTTGTGACAGACACGTCATCGACACGCCCACTCGCTGGCAGAGAATCCTCCAGAGAATCTCCTGCTGTGTTCTGGACTCAGTCAGACATTCTCCAGAGTTTTTGCACCCGGGGCTGGAGGGAGAGTCTTGAACGTGCGTGTTCTCACATTTAAACCCCTCTGGAGAATGTCCGGAGATGATCTGGAGTCTGGTGCATGATTACAAGCAGCTCTATGACTGAGATTCTATCTTTTATCATCTTAAGAGTCTCCTCTGCTGCTGCCGTGAGTCATTTACCGTAAAGTGTGATGATCTGTGCATTGAGGGTTTTAACGTCTCAACGAGGCTGATGCGTGAGACACATATTGACATAAATGATTATTATTTGTTTTAATGGAGACTCGAGCTGGTCTCGTTGGTTTTTTTGTTTTGTCGTTCGGGGTTCTGCAGAGGTGAGTCTGCGGGGACGAGGTGAAGCGTGACTCGGGACGAACGCGCCGCTTTTCCCGTAAAGAAGGAGACGAGAAAGAAAACAAACGCTGCGATCACATGACCGGTGGATCTGCCTGGAAACTCAAGTGAGGAGTTTAGGAGCCGATCGCAGCTCGCGCACACCCACGTGCTGTGACTCACGCATGACTCACCAAACGTGCCAGTAAAAGAGAGAGAGAGAGAGAGACACACATACACACACACACACACACACACACACACACACACACACACACACACACTTCCACGGAAGAGGAGAAACATTAGGGTAACTTATCACAGCCTCATACCGGGAATCCACGCGTTTCTCGTTTATTCCCCTTTGTCCACAGTCACGTTATCATCCCAGTGAAGGGAGGGAATTAAAGCAGCACATCTGGGAAAATACAACCATTAAAAAATCCAGCTGTGGGAGTGGGAGGATAATAACACTTAAGTGTAAGGAAGTAAAGACAAAAAGAAAAATATGAATGGAATAACAAACAAGAACAATGTGTGCTGTGATTTAATTCACGAACCATGTAGAATGAATATTGCACAGTTAAGAGAGTCGATAGTTTTGTGTTTATACTGTAACTGTGAGGAGGTTTACAGTTGTGATCACCACACACACATCAGTGTGTGTGTTTTCTGCAGGACAAACAGCTGGGACCAGATGTGTAGAGAAGATAAATGATGGGATGGTTTTATCCCCAAGAACTTTACAGCAGTTTCACTTCCTGTCTGTACTGATAATCACCTTTAATTAACCAGTTTGTAATTTATAACTCGGATACTTGTAGTTTGCTTTGATTAAATCTACTGCGGCACATTTCAAAAGTAAAGTGCTTTTTACTCCACTTCATTCATCTGACAGCTGAGTGCAGGCTGCACTTTTATATATAAAAGATTTGCTAAAGACTATCAGCCGTTGAAATTAGCACAGGCTCGAACAAATAGAACTGCAAATGCACATTTTAAAAGCTTTTCTCGGGTTAAACAGAAGGTTAGGAGAAAACGAAATTGAATATTTTTTAGAAACGTGTAATCAAAGCTGAGATCTCATTCTTCCTCATTATGTTTATTGTGAACAGCAGCAACAAAGACGTTCAGGCGGCTGAAAGATTCAAGATAAAACAGAAACCAAAACCAGGTGAACTGACACAAATTACTTAGGATAAAACTAAAAGCAAAACTTGAAACAAACGGTCATGACTGTAAGATATTATCAGGTTTACAGCACAAGAAAGTTTATCAGACTCAATGTTCAGATAAAAGTGATGATTGTGGTACCGACAGTTGCTTAATCCACCCACTCGTTACATTTACATACTTCAGTGTTTCCCCCGACAACACTTTGACGAATCCGGAAATCTGCATATAATTTGTATTATTTATTGTTAAAAAACTGTGTGCAAATACGTTTTTATTTAAAATACACTTCTTTATTAAAGATAGAACTGCTTCTGTGGCAGAGTCCATACGACTGACAGGGTTATTAATCTGATCTAAGACCAGCTGAGCAACTCTCTCATTATCTGTTTTTCTACCAGAAGAGCCTCCAATTAAAAAAAAAAATATCACAAAATCAAAGTGATGACAACAGAGAAAAGTTCCTGTTTCTACTGACCTGGCATACAAACGTTTTACGACATTCCTCTTTCTTTATTAAAAGTTTTCAACGCATGGCACAGTTTTTGCATTTTCTTCTTTCCTCTTGAAACTGTTTTGAAATACAACTTTGGGTAAAGTGTGTAAATCTCAGAAAGAGAGTGCTAGCCCACGTGAAGCTGCATATTTAACAAGTAAAACCTGACTCCGCACCGTTACGCTCCAGAGCAGCTTCACAGTCTTTACCCCGGCACAGCGGTCACCGCTGCGGACAGGTGACTCGGGTGTGCCCTGGCATGTGGCAGATGCCGCAGGAACGGGGTTTCTTAGCAGCAGGAGGTTTGCTGGGGTTGGTCGCTCCCATTTTCTTCCTCCCCCTTTCCCCTCCATCTCCACGGTCTCCACCACCATTAAATCCACCACCAAAACTACCTGACATGGGGGAACAGGTCAAACACAACATGAGGCGGTGAGATGTAGCCACAGACGGAGCAATAACGATGTTTCTGTGAGCAGCGAGACTGACAGCAGCGAGCCCGTCTGATAAGTGGATGCCTCAAGGTCTCAGTAGGAGTGTTTGAGAGTCGTGACAGATTTTCTTTAGTCTCTCTCTCCTTTTTTCTTTTGTTTGATCCGACTGTACATCTTCGCTGTTTGAACACTCGCATTCACACACTTCTAAACATTTTACATGGCATACAGAAAACATTAGCTGATACGGGGCTCATGGTGCAAAAGATTAAAGAGGGAATGTTATGTAATGTATGTAAGACTCTGAACTGTGATTGACAAAATTCAAATGTTTGTCTAGAATTCATTGTAGAATCTAATATTTGAATTCAATCTATCCAATGATTAAAAAACTAAATACAAGCTTCCTGAAGCTTTGAGGAGAATTACCCACAAATATGAGCTTCAGCCAGAAAATGATACAAATCAAGAGGCTTGAGTCGTCCAGCAGCAAAGAGACGGACTGACACAACCATTCGTTACCTTTTGTGTGTGTGAACGTTCTGTCCACTAGTACGAGGACAAAGTATTGAACAACAAATGTTTTCTCCATTTAACGTCAAAGTTTGAAAATGGTGCAAAGGTTCAGCATTCGTTGGTGATGGTTAAGGTCAGGGTAATGGGCTTGAGAGCATTGTGTCAATGACGTCCCATTAAGACAGTGTCAGCCTTACCTGGTGGGGGTGTGTTCTCGTCCGCCCATTGGAAGAAGCCACACTGTTGCTCTCTTGGTTTCCCACAGGTGTGGAACATCCGGCCCTTGTTCGGACCGTCCTTCTGCACTGTACGCGTCACCGCTGTCTCATTACAGTTACACATCGTCTGTCCCACTTGTCCTCCAGCTCCCCCTTCCTGCTCTTGGCCTCCTCCAAATGTGTTCCTGAAACCCATCGAGGGCCTCGGAGGCTGGGAGGTGTTCGGTGCAGGCAGGGGGCGGGGAGGCCCTCGACTCTGCGGTGCCTCCGGCTGATTTGGTTGATCTGCCCATAGAAAGAAGTTGCAGCTCCCAGCGTTGCACTTGTAGAACTGACGCCCTTGGTTGGGGCCGTCTTTACGCACAGTGAGGAGAAGTGCGTCTTGACCACAGTTGCACACAATGGCGTCTCTGTTGGGGTCTCCACTACCGCCACCACCTGGTGGAGATCGAGGCTGAGGGGTCCAGGAGGGGGCAGGAGGAAAGGAAGGTTGAGGATTGGAACGTGGGGGTCTGGGTGGATCTGGTCGAGGAGGCCGTGGAGCTGGTGGCCCTCGGCCACCCCCCCCACCTCCTCGTCTCCCAACTCCTCCCACCCCTCCGCCATCTCTGCCTCCTCCCATCACTCCACCATCTCCTCCTCCTCCTCCTCCTCCTGCTCTGAGGTATTTCAAGTCCAGCACTTCTCTGAGCGTCTCATCACATCCACCGATGCAGCCGACAAATTCTAAAGGCATCATGGGAGGGAGGCTGCCTCTGCGGAACTTAAGCCTCAACCTGATAAATGAAGGACAAACAGAGGGTGAATGTTGAGGAGGTCAAATCAAACACAATCAGAACTGAACCAACAGCTGCAGACACGGCTGACTAAATACATCGGAATCAGCCGAACAGAACTGGGAAACACCGGAACATATGAAAGTATAACTGCCAAAACTTGAAGGAAGACACTTCAAGACTCTGAGGCTCAAAGATGTGAGGAATAGAATAGAATGAAGGAGCCCACATTTCTATCTAAGGTGATATTAGTAGTTTATCACGCCCCCTGAAACTCTTCTGTGTTCCTCAACAGTCCATATTCAAAAGATTTGTCATGAAAAAATCCCCCTCATGACCTTCAATTGGCTTGAATGTAAGATGACAGCTTTTTTTCCCTCATTTTGTGACCGAGATGGCACCGATCGCTTATTTCACACATTGTTTGTTAAAATAAAGAGTAAATCAATTGACAGAAAAGATATTTAACTGAACCGAATAAGCCACGAACATCCTGTGTGAGGCTGCAAAACATGTTTCATTCTCATGCTGATTTTATTTTCGGCACCATATCTTCCTTTACTGTTAGTTAACAAAACATCACTATTTGAACAAGGCTAATAAACAACTGTACCATCATTAAACACAGGGATGCAGGAATCCGTGAGATAAACGCTGGGATATTACATCAAGTTGCCGTGGTGACCAGCAAGATGGCAGCAGCAAGCAACAGTTTATCTCTGCACTAACTGATGTGAAAAGAGACGCTGTTTTTGAGTAAGTGCTGTAGTTCAACTTTGAGCCCTGTACAAGACTGGTAGCTATGGTAACGGATGCTGATACGGGGCACTTTGGCTCGCTGCTGGTGAGCGCGCCCTATATTTGGACTGAGCTGAGGCACGTGCTCAAGGGGTTAACGCCCACTTGTGTAAACAAGTACTTCGACAAGTTTCTTGTGCTGATGAAGAAACTTCATCCGTGGTGGAGAGCTGACAGTAAAACAGCTCACAGATTTCCTCGGAGCTCCCACATACGCTCATCAATAATATAACAAGTATAATGTGTGTGTTCACAAAGTGAGCACTGAGAAGAGGGGAAGTTACTGAGGAACAAAGGAGAAAAGGAATCTCTCACATTCTTTGTACGAGACGTTATCATTCAGAAAATGGCGCCATGTTCAGATTTGTGCATTAACCAATGAAATACTTACATGTGAACGGGGCGTGGCTGACAGGTGGGACAAATGCTGTCGTCTCTGCTGACCTCCAGCACTGTGTCGGGGAACCACACCGCTGTCTTACAGGCTGGGAAACCCACGCAGGACAGGTACTTACTGCAGGGGGACGGAGACACAGAGGAAGGGACGGGACAGCAGAGAGGACGCAGAAAGAGTTAAAGGGGAAAGTAAGATCTTCTGTAAACTTCAGAGTTTTAGACAGAGAGCATCTAAAACTCAATTTATTATAAAGAATCAGTAATATGGTTTTAAGCAACATGTCTCGCCTCACCCGTTTCCCTCCCTCTTCTTTTTCAGCACCATGTCCCGACTACAGTGAGGGCATTTCCTGACAGGGAGCGGGATCTCCATGTCCTGCTGCTCGGCTTCAGTGATCTCCTGAGCTGCACCCAGATATGGCGTCAGGGCTTCGTCTAACCTGAGGCGACAACAGACAATAATTTCCTACCAGCAGTCTGAAATGATTACAGCCGAGGTGCAACTATTCAGTATACAACATGATTTCAATAAATCTCATTGAGTGCGACTTACTTCTTTGCCTTCCTGACAGACTCAATGAAGACAGTCTTGTATTTCTGGATGTGTTGCAGCAGAACGCCCCGTTTGTCCTTCGTGCCCTCGGATACCAGCTTGAGATCTGCCTCCAGCTCAGCACGCAGGTTTGGTTTAGACATCTCATAGCCCATGGAATTGTAACCTAAACAAACAAACACACGTAAATACTTGCATTATAGTTGATAACACTATGTATAAAGCCCAGAGCATATTGTAGAATGTATTGTGTTGTGTGCACTTACCCTCCACCAGCCCCATGCCGAGCTCTCCAGGGAGAAACCTCTGGTCAGCTGTCAAACCCACGTACATGCGACTCTTGATCGTCTCAATGTGATCTGCATGGGTCGCATCTGTGCCTGTGATACACAGTTCAACACATCTGAGTTTTCATGACACACAAAACAGTTCATCTTGAACAAACTGTCTGTGTTGACTAAGTTGTGTCTAGATTGAATGTGTGTGTGTTTACCAATGCCGTGCTTCTCCATCAGTGATATGAGGTCGGCTTCAGAGAGCAGCTGCGGAGGACTCGTCTGTCCGTCCACCATCTCAATAGCAGAGGGCTGGAACTGGGAGCCGTTCTCGTACACCGGAATCACCTGGAACACACAAAGTGGATGTACAACAAAGCTTTAACACAGGACTCAGCTGGAAAGATGTAGTTTGATAACATCGTGAAGCAGAAAGGCATCATGGGAATGTTGTCTTAGCGAACGAGGTAATGTTTTAAAGTTTTATTCATGTTTAATAAATAATTGTTGCATGTTTAACAGTAACAAAAGTTTGTTTAGTTGGAACTCACCTCCTCTTTTTACTTGTTTTGTAACAAAGTCAAAATGAGCACACACACACACACACACACACACACACACACACACACACACACACACACACACACACACACACACACACACACACACATCCTACCTTGGCACTCCACTTGTCATACGGGTAAACATCCAGGTAGTTCCTTGCAATGATCATGAGTCCCGAGGTGGAGAACTTCTCCTGGGCTATATCTATGTCCACCACTGTCTCCTGCCCCTGAGCATCTTGGGACACACAGGCAAGGAAGTGCCGGACAATGAACTCATAAATACGTCCTTCATTGCCCTGGACACAAGAAGAAAGAGAAAATCGTTACTTCACAGATTCAATGTCTGTGTCTATGTGTGTCTATATAAGGCGCATTTCTTTTACTTATGAGAAAGGTGAATTTATCTTAAATTAATATTTTTGAGCCCATTGTTTCCCGTACTTATCGTACAGGGACTGGTTGCGTACAGAAGGAACTTACTTGATGTGACGTTTATAGAAAGCCTATAAACATCACAGACACATGAATGATATATGCACAAACTGATCTCCATTTTCATACCTGCAGTGTATGGGAGAACTTGGTAGGGTGTATGGGGGGGTGGGCTTGGTCCGATTTCTTGCCCTGTCGTGGGTTGGGACCCCCAGGCTGGTCGAGCACCCGCTGGGCGAACGTCCCCCAGGCTTGGCTCTGTGTCTGCAGCTCCACCAGGGGGCTGAGATCCAGGTTTGCAGGAAAAATGTTTGTCTCAGTGCGGGGGTAACTGATAAACCTGAAAAGAGTAAAAATAAAAAATAAAAACACATGAGAAAACTTCAAGCAAAGAAGTTTGATATTGCTGGTGAAGCATCTATTAAACACATCAACTGCCAGATGGATGTACAGAAATAGGAACGGCTTTAAGGTGGTTTTAAAACCTGCTGAACTAAAAGTACAAGTGACCTTTTCACTGAAACACAGACACTTTAATAAAAGAGGCTTCAAGGCAGCTTCCTGACTGAAACAAGTTCTAGTGAAACACCGGATTTAACATATGGTTGGACCAGAACTACACTTAAGGACACCATGTGCCGAATGTGCATTACATAAAAATGATGCTTGTTCAACTCTTATGATAACTCTTACACTCACCCTTGAGTATAGAGTTTTTCTGCAATTTTCATGGTCTCTTTGGCATTTATCCTTAACTTCCGAGACGCCAGTTTCTCCATTTCCTGTCAGATAAAATGTTAACGTCGGTTCATAAAAGGAGATGAGATGAGACCCAGGACACTGGAGCTGAATAAACTTGATCTGTCTCTCTTGCTTGAGTACAGCTACATACACTTTACATGCAGCAAATGTTTGTGTATGGCGTTATATTCTTACCACAGTGTCCAAAGGCAGCGGTCTCCACTTGCTCTTGGGTTTGCTGGTTACTGAGGTGACTGTTGCTATGGGATCCTGGAAATGAGTAAGATTATTTTCTTGTGTGTAGCTTTTCACATACGTGGTTTGCAGCCCAGTTTATTCAGGCAGGTTGAAAGCACATTTGAATTTAAATTTTCTGCAGTGTCCTACGGAGGTAACAGCTGTGGGGAGAGGAGCGATTCCACATGTGTGCACTTTCAGCACAGACCACAAACACACAAAACACAGTTGTCTGTTTTTCAAGTGCACAAATCATTTCTCCCTAAACAACAATCATCAGTGTTTTTGCTTTATATTAAATAAATCATTTGTATGATCAGATGACCACATCAGTGTTTATAAATGCCTTCTCCTGTGTTGCTTTGCTGTTGCTGTGTTTCAGTGTGAATATATTTTCCACCTGTTATGTAAGAGCAAAATTTAGGCAAAGTTTTTTTTTTTACTTCCACATGTTTTATGTCATTTTACATTTATATGGTAACAAACAACTAGCTAAGTGATAATTACCAGCTGAATAACTGTGAGCATCTTGGCAAACAAACACTGGGTGTAAATGTTTTTCAGTGACAGTCATAGATTCAGACGACACCTCCGTCCTGCTTCCAGTAACAGAGACAAAACATGGACCAACAAACAAGCGATTATTAAACAACTTGCACTGACACTGACCAAAACTAAACACCAATGTGCAAAATGACTGTCACTTAAAACTAGGCCTAATGGAAACTCACATTAGCTCATTAACGCATAACGAGAATAAACCAAAACTCCCTAAAGGAATGAGTGATGAGAAACAGAAAAACAGATCACTAGTGAAAGCATCACTAAGAACGAGACCAATAACTCCAAGTGGTACATTCAGGTATGTGACAAAGTCAATAACAGGACTGTGTTTACCACACTTATGAGTTTCAAGAGTACGGACCCTCGTCGTTAACAACACAATCTCAAATTTGCCACTTAAAAAATTCTAAAGACAGAGTCGACATGAGCAACATCAGCCGACTTATAAAGCTTACTAGCTTCCGTGAGAGCCCATGACTGTGCACACATTCACTGTCGGACACGTCAGTGTACACAGTATGAATCATACACATGCAAACAGCCGTACCTCCATGCAGATCTGGTAAAGCACCAGGCAAGCTGTGTGGTTGAAGAGACGGTTTCTTTTCCAGTTGAACTCGACAGTGTCCTCCTCAACTTCATGGAGCACTGACACAAAAAAAACTCAGTTAAAACCTCAACACTTGTCTCTGCATTTGATTTGAGGGCCTGTGCATGGATACATTTCTACCTTTGATTTTGTAGAACGTCTCCGGTATAAATGCCTGGATGGCTTTGAAACGCTCCACCACGAAGCCCAGAGTGGGAAACTGACAGCTGCCATATGAGATCAGCTGATTGGCCAGAGACTCCGGAAAGATCTTCTGAAGACGAAGTGTCTGGAATCTAGTGAAGGATGCACCTGCAGAAGATGAGCACACAAGAGTGGATGGGATCACGTTAACCGTACTTTCAGAGATGAACTGAACTTCAGACATTCTCCTGAAATCACAGACAAAGACAAAAAAATAATGATTATGTTTGACAAACCATAATCTGTTGAGCCATCACATACACCTGAAAGAATATTTGTCTCATGCGCTTGTGTGTGGAGTACTACCTTACCTATCCGCAGGTCGAGCTCCTGACGGACATCAACAGCATCACTGATGTTAGCATCCGGCTCTGTCAGAGTTTCACAAGCTCTCTGAATGGAGTTGGGGGTAATCTCAGAAAACTTTGCCCGAAAGACTTGTAAATTGTGTTTCACTGAAAAACACACACCATCAGGGGATAGTTATGAACAAATGAAACTGTTATTCCCTGGCTTTAAACACAGTCACAGAAACATGGAGAGATCATGACACAAAAACAACAGACATGTTATTGACGTACCTGCTTTACAGACGTCTATGATTTCAAAGCCAATGTTTTCTCCCTCTCTGTCACAATCAGTCCAGATGACTAAGGCCTGGCACTGCCTCACCTCTTTCTCCAGAGTCCGCTACAGAGACAGAAAGAGACAGACGAAAGGGGAGAAGAGAAAAAAGGGGTTTGATGAACAGATGAGTCCTAAAAATATTTTAAGTTGTTTTCTTTCTTTGTGAAAGAGATTAAAATTATCTGAGCCTATCACACAATTGAAATTAATAAATGTGTAGCGTATAAATTTACAAAGAAATACAATAAAGATGTGCCTTGTTCAAATGTCAAAAGGTACCAGTGCTCAAACATAATCACCCAGACAGCAAATGACCATACCTTGATTTGTATCATGTTATCTGGACAGTACTTCTCTACCTCAGCGTCAAATAACAGCTGGGGATTACAACTGTGCCTTTGGAGAGAAAATATTAAAATATGATTAATTGTTAAAACACTGTTAGGTGCTGAATGTACAAAAATAATTCAAGTTTAAATTACCATTTCTGGAACGGCGCTTTAAACTCCAGACCCAGTAAATGACCAGATACTGAAGTCATTGATACTGAGACATTCTGGAGTAGGAGACAGAACAACACCGACAAAATCAAAAACAGAGAAAACACTAAAGAACAGACACGTGTGGATAATCAATTATTTCTGTGTATCCACTTACCTGACCAAAGAGATGATATTCATACTCGTAGATTTTATTAAACTTTGACATTCCTTCCCTCTGAAAAGAAATAATCCAATCAATACAAAACAGACTCCCACCTAGATCAAGCATCCATAAACAACTTCCTAATTTATAGCCCCCCCAAAAATGTCTTTACTTTGTTGTCTACAAAGTGTCTGTAAATGTTTAATTGAAGTTTCCCAAAGTTAAAGACTAATTTAACATCAAGTTTAATGTTCATGATGTTTGACCAACTGTCTAAAACCAAAAGATATCCAGGTCATTACCACAGAGTGAGAGGACTGAGACAAACAGCAGATTTTCTATATCCTCTTTGTGGATCACCAGACTCAGCGAACATAAGATAAAGTTTCATGCCGTGTCATGTAATTGGATGTTGTATAATAGATCAGCTGTAACTGTAAGTTACTGTGTCTTGAAGGGACCACAGACTGACACTAGAACACAGAGACTGATCCATGACCATCCACTGATTTAGGGCTTCAGCATTTCTGATGAACCTGCTGATTGGATCAAAACAGAGGTTGAAACTGTCCATAACAAGTTTATAGAGCTCAACAACAAACGAAACCGAGGAGAATCATATTCTCACGTCATTTACAAACACAGATAACACTGATTAAAGACTATTTGCCCAATCATTGTGTCCATCGACCCGTGGTTTCAGTAACACAGACACTGACCCTCCGGGCTCTGCCGCCGGACATGATCTCTGAGATGCCCTTGGCTGCATCGTTCTTCTCGGCTACGCAGAGGACCCGCTTGATCTGAGCCCGGCTCCGGTTCATGTCTTCCTGCTGAAGTGTGTCCGGACCCCGGCCACTCTGCGCCGCACAGAGACGCCTCCACTGGACCCCGAGCTGCTGCAGTCCCGGTCGAAGCAAGGATCTTCCGGCTAGATGCGCTGTGAGCATGCCTGGTGTCCCTCACATGAAGCAGCCGCTCCTCCGGGCAGCCCCGCTCCTGCTGTTAGCATGTTAGCTGCGGCTAACACCTACGACCATGGTCTACGCTCCTGGAAGCTGTTACAGAAGCGCTAAAACTGTCCACACTGGTTGTCCACCTTGATCCAGAATATAACGACACCCGCAGAATAAAACTAAAACACCAAATACACACGTTTCAACTTTGTTAGCGGCGGAAACCAAAGTCTGACAAGAAACCGCTAACTCTGTTTACAATTGCCGCGTCCGCCTGTCAAACACTGCCGTAATCAAGGTCGTAAAAACTGTCGTAAAATCCAGGAACTGCCTCGTTCCGGAACACGACAACGACCAGGTTTTTACAACAGTAAGTGAAAGCTTTTAATTCTAACACAGTTCACATCCGTAACACGCGCTGCGTTTTTATTAATAACGTTTTTAACAATAATGATGCAAATAATATTATCTCATATCACAGATAATGGATATTACACCGTAAATCAGGAATGTTGAAAATATCTGTGAACGAGACGATGCTACAAATAGTACACATAAATGAATAATCAACATCATAACACGATAACACGAATGGGTATAAGAGCCTGCTACAAACGCCGGGACTACTTTAATTATTTGGATTGCCAAATCAAATACTTCCATTCATCAAAGACAGTCCCTGTGTGTACTTTGTGTTTTAGGGTGTACTCCCTGCAGGAGGAGGAGGGACGATCACCTGACAGGACTGTAACCAGCTGAGTAAACATGGCGTCTGTGTCTGGATGTAAATGACATGCAGCGCTCCTGTGTGTGAACGGGCTTTCTGTCTCACCGGGGTGGATGGACAGGGCGCGTGAAGAGACGCGGGACCGGAGGACAGAAGCGCTTCACTGATGCTGCTTCGTGTCTTATTCTCTCTGTGCTCAGCGCGAAGACTCTGATTCCTGCCCGGACCCTGTGGTTGGCGCGGATCATTGCTTTTGTTAACAGAGCCTTTGGTTTTTGTGGAGGGGCTCTACTTCTCATTCAGTGTGACACATATCCAGGATCCTGCTCTGGGGACTGGCTCCTGCTGGGCTCAGTCTGGGGCCCGTCCTGCTCTGCTGTGCTCTTTTTTTCTTTAAACGATATAAAGGAGCTGCCTGTAATGTGTGAGAGCAGAATGATCAATGTGTCTGTTGCACTCTGACAGCTGGGTTATGACTGAGAGTGGTGCTGCACCGTGTGTTGTGTTTCTCATGCCTTTCTCGACAACACCACTATGATAGGCTCACCTGACGTGGTGGCTTTCACTAAAGAGGATGAGTTTGGTCAGAACAACCCGGACCCCTGGGCTCTCCCCGAGGAGTTCTCCATCCCCCTCCATCCTTTGGCTGACTCCAACCCCTGGGCCAAAACCTCCTTTGCTAAGTTTACTAAAGACTTCATCCTCATCTCGGAGTTCTCCGAGCAGGTGGGCCCTCAGCCTCTCCTCACCATCCCAGCTGACCCCAAAGTCTGCGGTACGTTCGATCTCAACTACTTCTCTCTGCGCATCATGTCAGTGGACTACCAGGCCTCCTTTGTCGGGCATCCACCAGGCAGTGGCTACCCAAGGCTCAGCTTCGTGGAGGACTCGAGGGTGGTCTTGGGCGACTCAAAGGAGGGGGCATTCGCTTACGTCCATCACCTCACGCTGTACGACCTGGAGGCCAGGGGCTTCGTGCGACCGTTCTGCATGGCATACGTTTCAGCCGACGAGAGGAAAATCATGCTGCAGTTTCAGGAGGTGTCCCTCCGCTTCCTGCAGGCGTCTGAGTGTCTGAAGGCTGGGAACAGGAGAGCCTTCGCCAAAGAACTGCAGAGGAAACTCCAGGACCTGGAGTAAGACCTTCATTGCATTTTAACTTCTTTCCAACTTAGAATTCAAATACAAGTCATAATACAAATCTGATATTTCAATATTAGCCCTGTGTTCAATTATATATGTAAACAAAACTTTGCTTTTGGCCCCTGTTAATCCCTCAGCCTCATGTCTATTCCACTAACACTAATGTTAAGCAGGTATAATAGTGACCATGTTCACTATTTTATGGTCAAGTGCTTAGCACGTGTTAAGTAGCACAAAACACAAAGTATAGCTTAGGCCTTCTTTGTTGTTTGGTCATAAGAAAATATTGTGATTTTGACCTGACGACGTCGTCAGAGAAGAGTCAGATGATCTTACAACATTTCACCCAGAACTATAATGTGAACTTCATGGTTGCACCAGAAGAAAAGTCAGAGCCCACAGAAGTTTTTAGCATTCATCCACTAGGGACTTTGAATGTTGAAGAGAATTTCTTGGCAATCTATCCAGTAGTTGTTGATAAATTTCAGTTTGAAGTGGCGGACTGACCAACCAACCAAAGCCTATGTCCATGTGTGCTATTAGAATGGATATATAAATAACTGGCCAACCATAATCTAACAGTTCATGAATGTTCATGCATGTTTTTCCTGTTTTGTTTGTGTAGTAGTTTCTCAGACTCTGTTCAGACTTGGTACTAACATCCATCCTAACTGATCTGGTCACAGGCGACACATTCAGGACACATTTTAATGGCAGGTGTGAAGAGATGAACATAGATCTGTGTTTTGTGATCAGATCTCTCAGGACGGACGTTAATACCAGGTCTGAATAAGGCTCATGTTACTCTTGACATTCCTCTTGAGGAAAAAGTCATTATGTCAAACTCTATTATTCCCGTTCCCTATATGAACACGTGCATCAGTAACCCGTGTTGTTTTCCCCTCAGGTACACTCACTCTGTGCTGCAGAAAGAGGAGGGCCTGCAGAGGGAGGCGGGGCCTCAATGCATGTACTCCGCTCACGCTGTTGAGAAAGCCAATGAGCTCGCTAACGTTGAAAAGAGCATCTATGAACACAGGGACCTGCTGAGGCAGATCAGCTCCTACCATTCCCGCCCTCGCAGAGACCCGCACGCTGTCACCTGTCAGAATTGTGTGACAGAGTGCTTGAGCGAGTGTGAAACGCTGTTGGAAAAATACGCCAAGCTTGCCAACCCCTTCGGTTACACTGACAAAGGAAAGAAGCAGGAGGAAGGGAAGGGTCGGATCAATGATGAAGCAGGCGAAGAGGAAGTGGATGACGATGAGTGCGTTAAACGCAGGCCATCTTACACACCACAGCTGATCAAAGCTAAGTCGGCCAAGTGTTTCGACAAGCGCCTGAAAACCATGCAGGAGCTGTGTGACGACACTTTCTATGAGGCCACCATGGAGCTCCTGAAGGAGACAGAGAGGAGTTTCCGTGGCGACCTGTGTTACCTTCACACACGCCGCCTGGACAAGGCTCTACGTAGGAAACAGAGAATTACCAACTTCCTGTTTGAGGAGGACCTTTGTGATGACGCTGAGGATGAGGGAGGGGTACTAAGACCTTTCTGTGCTGTGAACCATGCTGTCAACAACTATACACTCTTAAATCCTCCTCCAATTGTGATGGGACCAGAACCTCTAGAGCTAGACTCACTGGAGCCCCCACATCCCCGAGACCCAGCTTCTGAGACCAGTCATACTCAGGAGAGTGAGCTCGGGCTTGGGGAGAGCCATTTGGATTCCTCCCCCTCAGACCAGACTCTGGAGACCCAGGAGAGCTCTGAGGAGAACAAAGGAAGCTTTAGCAGCGATAAGAGCGGGATTGCCCCGGCAGAAAAGCAGCAAAGTCTTGCTAGTATGAGGTCTGAACCTGCTGATCCTGACTCTGACTTGACCCCTGACCCTGACCACAACGCTGACCTGGAGAGAGAGAGCAGCAGTGAAGATATGGAAACCACTGCAGGGGAGGATGACGGTGGAGACGAGACACCTGTGTCCTTGCTGGAAGTGGTGTCAGAGCTGGAGGCCAGCAGGGAGGATGACTGTGAGAGAGAAAGTGAAATTGAGTCTGACTTGTTGGTTCCAATTGACACAGCATGCTGTATGTCTCAAGAGGGATTCCTTTATGAGGCATCTGCCCCAGAAAAGGACCCTCATCCGGACCAAAGCTCCCACCATCAGTCCTCTCAAACCCTGGTGGTCAACCAGGAGCCTCAATCCCTTCTCCCTCTCCAGGACTATTACGGCGTGGGCTCTCCATGCTTAGAAAACCCAGCAACTGGGCTGGAGCTGCCTGTGGGGCGCCTTGGAGATGCAGTTTCCCGTACCTCAGCAGAGGATGGGTCAGACTGTACTATGAGTGCTTCTACTGGATCTGATCGTGCTGCCTCACCTCTCGGCTATGGGGCGGTGATGACCCTGCGTCACAGGAAGAAGGCTGGACAAGGAGCCCTGAGGTTTGTGCGGCAGTACCCCTTTGCCATACAAGCTCTTTGGTGCCTTCTGAGTGGTAGGACGCTGGTGGTGCTTGGGGCAGATGAGGGGAGGGTCCGACGGTTGGTTGCTGCTCTGGCCCTCTTCGTTCCTGGCCCAGGGAAGTGCGGCGAGAGGGTTCAAGCCTGGCTGTCCTGTCCTTTCACACTTACTGACCTGCAGAGGTGGAAACTCATTGGTTTGCAAAGGTTAGTACAATTTGCATTTTCATTTTAGCCTTTTAAATAACACTGGTATAAAAAGCTTGTATTCAGGGCAAGTAGAGCCAGACAGATGATGTTGATGACACAGATTTACTAAAGCAAGTTTGATGCTCACAGAACCATAAAAAATATTAATCAGTATGAAGATGATGGTAGATTCCTCAACATAGGTTGTATCACACTTCACTCTACTATTACTCATCTGCTCTGACTCAGTCTGTGATGACGCACAGAACAGCTATTCAATTTCCAGCCTCTCGACTGAATTGAAGTATTTTTCATTTAGAGAGAACGCCATAGCTTCATAAATTCATGCACTGGTTGAAAAGTGAAAAGGTCACCAAAGCAAATACAAAGCTGCAAATATAATTATCAATTTCATTTATCATTTTATGACAGTCCAGTTGATTTATTACTCTTATAAACCACAAATGTCATTTTTTCAGGATCCATCCTCTGAACCATGAATCTCTGTATCTGATGTCCTGCCAATGTGTCCAATAGATGTTGAGTTATATCAACCAGATCCATATCCTATAATTATTGTGATGAAGTGAACAGTAAATGATGATAATAAATAAAAAATTTAAAGCTGCTTTAACCAACTGACAAATATGGCATCTGTCTTTCTGTCTCCCACAGAGTGGCGTCCCCTGTTGGTTCCAGCATGCTTTACTCGCTGTCCCGCTACAGTCGCTATATCTCCATCCTTGATGCCGACCAGAAGACCTTGCGCTGCCCGCCGTATCACGGCCAGCTGCTTGCCAACATAGCCGATCATCGAACCTACATCCGCCATGGCTCCACCTACTTCCTTCATGCACAGAGCACCCTGTGCCGCCTGGCTGCCAAAGCCTTCCTGTTTACTTTCACCCACCACCTCCACCTGCCGGTCAGCTCCACGGAGGGGCCGGAGGTCGTTGAGGGCCGACGCCGGTGCTTTCTGCAGGAGCAGCTGGGGCTGGGCGAGGAGGACAGCCAGATACTGCTCTGTCTCAGCCAGCTCATTACTCAGCAGTACCTAAAGCCTGCCACCGGGAGCAGCGTACTAGCACCTTGTTTTAGTTTTAACTACACCACGAGCGTTTTATACAAAATCTAATTACCTTCTGGGAAAAGGATCTCACACATGTTTTATCAGATATTATCTGTGATCCTTTGGTTTTTAATGGACCAAAGGTGATCGTTACAAGGTCTAAAGTTATTTAAGTTTCAGGAAAATCTGCGCTGGCTTTGATTTTTCTCTGCCTTGCTGTCTCTTTCTTTGATCTGGATATTTCCTCTGTGTGCAGGGGAAAGGAGACTCGGAGTGAATTGTGAATGTCAGCGAGCTGTTTACTTTGCTTCAGAGGAGTTTGACACACAAAAATATGTCCATGACAAACAAATGTCTGTTCTACCCTTTGAGCTTTTTGTGGGTTTTTCCGTGTTATGTGCTTGTCTGAGGTCAGGGCCACTTTTTTTACTGTGTGTGTGTGTGTGTGTGTGTGTGT